CTGCCTTTTAAATTCTAAAACGACTTATCCTTATGGATTATGATCCTGATGCTTGTGCATGGAGGCTAATACATTAAGCAATGCCAATCAAATAATACAAGACAATACACCTGCATTCCATACATTATATTAAACAAAACGAACCATTAACTAAGTTCGTTATAGTTTTACAAACTTCAACATAATGATGCATGAGAGGGATTTAACACAGTTATTTTGATGACATTTTCTCTTGGAACCCTCCAATATAACCATAAAAATAAAATTATTTTACTCGACCACCTTCGTAGTCGCCTTCATATCTCTTCCAAAACCAATGTTGCTTCCACACTCTCTCTGTCATCTCCTCAATAGGGACATTTTTGGTCTCGGGAACCAAAAATAGCACAAAGAGTGACATGACCAAGACCCAAGCAGAGAAAAACAAGAAGACGCCATACTTCATACTGCAAAGCATTAAGAGGAAGACTTGTCCTATAAGAAAACAGCAAAGCATGTTCATGCAAACCGTCACACTTTGCCCCGCTGACCGAGTCTCCAACGGAAATGTCTCACTAGGAATTAACCACCCGAGGGGTCCCCAAGACCAGGCAAAGGCGGAGACGAAAGCGCACACCATGACCACCACCACAATCGCCAAACCATAAGATAAGTTATTAGAGTGATCCTTAACCTTGAAGGCTAGCACTATTCCGATACCAATTGAGAAAGCAACATTTGGATCCCAGCTTCTAATAACAGCATTCGACGCCCAACTTTGTCAACCAAGAAAATAGATACAATCGTCGCGAGGACATTGACAGCTCCTAGTATAACTGCGGCATAAAGGGAGGCATTGTTGCCAAAGCCCATGGTCGCAAATAAAATGGGAGCATAGAAAAGAATTGCATTCATGCCTGTGAACTGCTGGAAGATCTGTACAGCAAACATCATTAATATTAACATTACACTACTACTTTTTAATTGTAGTAACCAATGTATGTGTATATATACTGACCTGCATTGCTATTGCAATCACCAGTGGGGGGCGATTCTTCCGTTTAAGGAGATTTTTAAAGGGGTGCTTTATTTCTTTGGCTGCACGACTTGCCTCCAGTATCTCCGAGAACTCTGCTTCAACATTTTCAGTGCCTCTGATCCTTTTAAGTACTGCTCTTCCTTCATCCAACTTACCACGTTGTATCAAACTGTTAGGAGTGTCTACCACAATGAGTGACCCCAAGGTTAGCAAGAGTGCCGGAACGCCAGCCAAACCCAGCGATACCCGCCAACCCCATCCCCCTTTAATCCTGTATTTGGCAGAACACATAATTACATATCAATTATAGTGGATGGTGGTAAAGCACAAGAAGTAAGAAAAAATTAATTCATGCCCATTAATGTTGTATCTCGATAATCATTATAGACATTTCTCTTCATGTGTCTAGTAGAATAAGAACCTAATTTCATTTGTTGATATTCTTCATATATAGGAGTACTCTTTCAAACCAAGGAGAAGGGGACGTACTTAGCAGCACCATAATTGACAAGGGTAGCAAAAAGAATTCCAACGGTTACATTTAGCTGGAAAAGTATGTTGAGTCCTCCACGAATTCTTGTGGGTGCAATCTCCGAAAGGAATAGTGGCACAGCCTGCAAAACATCAAAACATCGAAACCATTACTCGATGACCAAATTAGGGGAAAAACATATATGGCTTAAAAGCAAGAAAATGAAAGCTGAAGCTCCTCTTCATATGGGGCATACGATACAGATCAATATTCTTTTTAGACTTGCATTTGAATTTTAAACTCTAAATCGTAAACTTCAAATGCAAAACATAAAATGCCCCTCTATTCAAATTTTTTTTTTAAATTTTTATGAAAAACTTAACTAACCTAACAGTTTTCATTGTATTCAAAGCTTTTGCCCTGTTCCCATTGCTCGATACCCCATTGATAACAACTTTATCCCTCGAGTGCTATATATGCTTGCTGCAATATTACTCAAGGGATGTCACAGATGGACCTTTCTCGAGGGGTCCTCGAGCAAACTCGAATTAGGCAAACAAACTGTATAAAAAAGTCGTACCCAGTGCACAAGGCTCCCGCTTTACGCAGGGTCTGGGAGAGGTGAATGTCGGCTAGTCTTATCCCCATTTTATGGAGAGGCTGCTCCCAAGTCTCGAATCCGAGATCTACCGCTCATGGGCGAAGGCACTTGCCATCGCACCAAGTGCGACCTCTAGGCAAACAAACTGTATGAATCCAATTAATTAAAAGTACAGGGTCAATAAAGTCTTTTCAATGTAAAAATGACCAAAAAAACAATTGAACAAACGGTATTATATATAAGCACCAAAAATTATATGCAGATCATCTTGTTTCATCTGATGCAGTGGTAATGAGTAACTTGGCAGTGGTTGTCGCTCTTTTTTCCTCCTTAACATCACCCTATACTTTAAGATTTGAATGTGACACTATTACCCGAAATTAAGATTAAAGTTGCCCTGACTACCTCTTTTAGGAAATATATTGCTAGAAATTGATAAAGGGTTAGAACATTGCTGTTAAGAGTCTCAAAATATGGAGGAATAACAAAATTATAAACAATACAAAGTTAAAAACCTGATTGGCGAAACCAACTCCGCAGCCAAGAAAGATCCTGCCAATGATAACCATGGAAAGTTCTTGAAATGAAGCATTAATAACTGTACCAACAATGAAGAAAATCCCAGCAATTAACATGGTCAGCCTTCGCCCTAGCCTTTTGGTAGTGTACGATGCAAAGAAGGTCGATACCAAAGCAGCAAGGTACAACAAAGAGGTGAACAATTGCAGGCCTTGATTGTTAAATCTGCAATAATTGCTATTGGTCTTCAGTTTCTGAGTGCTAGCGTACACGTCTGGGTAGAACTTTTTCAAGAAACCTGGCATAGCTGTCACACCGCCTGCATCAAGTACAACCAATGGCTAAAATTTGTACTCCCTATACGAGTTTAGTCAAGTTGCTTAATACATTATACTCCCTCTCTATACATAAGTTCGAATCTCTTCCCAAATGAATTTAGTACGGAATTTGTCAAAAAAAAACCCCGAAAATTAATATAAACAACAGTATTAATTAGACAAACAAATTAAAAAATTAAAAATTGTGGGTGTTTGTGGTTACCGACCAGAAATGCCGACCTCATAACCAAACATGAGGCCTCCACTTGAAGCGAGTATACATGAAATGATGACAATTGGTGTGATCTTTGCTTCAGAAATATCAGCTGCGGTGCTTGCTGAGGCCATGGAGCTGCCCTGCTTAGCCATAATTACTCTATAAGTATATGATCTCAACTCTCAAACATTCAAAACAAAGCCTCTTAATTGCTACAACTTCCTTGCAGCTCCTTATACAGCTTTGTATATTCCAAGTAACTGAGTGAAAGAAAGAGACTTTCTGCAAAAACCAGCAGATGGGTGGTTTCTTTTAAGATAGCTAGCATGTGAGAGAGGGGCACTGCATGGGAACCAGGTGTCCAAATTCTGAGGTTTAGCGTAACAATTGTCAGCTGCTTCATTCTCTGCTTCCTTATCACCAAACTATAGTTTAATATATTTTAATACGTTTTCTTCCTCCATTCCTTCATTGTTTGAGTTACAACTTTACTTATTGATCAAGTGACTCAATGATATGATTTTATACTTGTGGAGATTAATTTGCTGCCAATGAATGGCAATATAGCATATCACTAGAGGTTATCTTAAAATTCATTTAAATGGAAAATGGTAAATTTGGTTCACTTGAGATGCTAACCTTTCAACATGCGATATTAATAAAAGTTGCATATTAGGATGAAATGCATTAACGCTTACACTTAATAAAAAAAAAACTAACAAAATTCTAATTTGTTTTCTACTCAATGTTCCAAGAAATTGCCTAAATAGCAAAAGAACAATTGCACATGGAGCCAACCTTCTGAGTAGGGATGGGCAAATACCCATCGGTTATGGGTAACCGTGGTTACCGGCCAATTTAAATTTTACGGTTATTATGGGTAACCATTTAAATAAATAAACGGTTATGGGTATAACCGTTTACCCGTAAAATTTAAATAAGCGGTTATGGATATTAACTGCGGTTATAAACGGGTAACCGTTTACCCATTTATTTTATATACGTTAAAATTAATACAAACCATGTTCCCTATCGAACAAAACTTAGATCAATGTTATTGACTATATTGCATGATTTTTGTAGCTAATATAATATAGTTTTCCTTAACCACTTTAATTTCATGGTTCATTATATATATTTTATGTTAATACCTTACATTCCCAGTTAAATAACCCAATAATACTATCTTTTTCGTAACCCAAGAATACTTAGCAAATTCTATATTACCTTCATTGTTAACAGTTAAAAATATCGACAGTAAACTATTATTTCAATTATTGGAATGGTATAAGGACTTAAAAATTTAAAATGCGGAAATGTATGATAAATGTACCTATAACGGTGTTTAATTGTTAGAAGAAAAAAAATTATGACAAATTTTCCTTTTTTAATTTTCAAGTTGTTAAAAAAACATGTAGACGAGTGATAAAGGAGTAAATGGTAAAAAAAGAAAAAATAAACGGGTTAAAAAATGATAAATGGGTAAATGGGTACTAAACGGTTACGATTAAATGGGTACATGGTTATAGGTATGGTTAACCATTTATAAACGGTTATGGGTATGAGTATAACCGTTTAGGCAATTATCCAACGGGTAAATGGTTATGCGGGTATGAGAATAAACGGTTATGGATAAATAACCGCGGTTACCCGCCCGCTATAACCATTGCCCATCCCTACTTCTTGGTAGCACTTGAAAGCTCTCTTTGAACTCTCTTGTGCTCATATGAGAGGGAATTTTGTCATCACTCAATTTCAAGTCTAGCCTCTCTTTCCCTAATGAGAGATTCCATTGCAGCCTGATAGACATATTCGAACATTTAATATCAAACCCATCTACTTACCATCTTATATATCCAAGTCTTATTTCGTAAATTTCTCTTGTAAATAAGCATAGTTTTTCCTGAGCCCCGCAATAATCTAATTCAATTCTTCTTCCTTGCTTTTCAATAAGATCCCTATTATCAAACAAACATAATTACTATAGTAAACAACTTCATTGAGGATTCAAACACACAAAAGATGTTATTCATAACCATTTCATTGCATTGCCGCTCTGACCATGAAAAATTAAAATTAATAATAATCGCTCAAATCAATTACAGTATATCACAAACTATGCCATCTAATAATCAATAAATTTAAGAAAATTTAAAATGAAATCAAAATCTTTAAATGTCCTAATTTTCTCTCTCGGAAGCCAAACAATAAAGAAAGAAGAAAAGGAGATGAATAAGAAATGAAGGTTGAGTAACTAACTTGTCAGGATTTGGATAAGAGGCAGGAAGAGAAGGCCATCATCGGAACTCAGTCTTACTCTTCTTCTTGTAATTTCTGTTTCTCCTTTCAGATTTCAAATACAAAACCACCCATACTTAAATCAACTTAATTCCTGTAAAAAGTTTGCTATAAAACTTTCATGACACTTCTATAAAAATCCAGCTTGCATGGTTCTTTTACAATCAACACATAACTTCATTTTAAACTTGTAAAGACACAAACTTAATCAATTGACTTATATTTAAATAGAAAGAAAGTAGTGGTCAATTTTACCTATATTTTGTTTGGTGTCACTCCATTTCTATTTTTAATTAAAAGCTTGTAACTTTTACGCATTTCCCTATAATTTTTACTTCCCTTCCCTTCCCTTCCCCTGCTGCATAAACAGTAGAGTAGCTCTCGCCTACAACAAATTGAAAACCATTTGGAGAAAATAACTAAGCATTTGGTTATTAGATTCTTAGTAGGCAAAGCAAGAAAATTACACATAGCGAAACTATTGAAACTTTAAAACCCACTTCCCAAATTAGGTTCTCTGACTGACTAATGAGCATATGGATTTTAAACTATCATCCCAAGCCTGCAATGCCTGAGGTTTTTTTTTTTTTTTTTTTTGTGACAGTCTAATTAATCATTTTTAATAGAAGAATACAATTCATATAACAATAATTAGTAGAGAAAACGAATGCAGTAATGTAAAAATCATGGTGCTACTTGAATTTTGAGGGCTGAGGACGATCGCTTAATGCCACCAAGTTCCATTTCTATTCAGAGTTCGAAACTGAATTTGAGACTCTTCTAGGTTCTTGTTAACAAACATAACATGGTGGACCAAATTAAAAACATATTTAAACCAAAAATTATAATTTGAGTTTTTCTAATTTTTTTTCTATAAGAAATCTCATAACTCTAAACAAAAAGAAAACTTACCGCAAGCTTGGAGCTAACTGGGGTCAATTCTCCTTGCTCTGCAATCACACAAAACAAAATTCAAAGTTCAAAACTTAATATAACCTCATCTGCCAATTCAAAGTCCAAACAATTAACTAAAAAAATCCCGAATGAATAAAGTTTAAACCATAGTTATTGAGGTTAGATAGCAGGACAACCGACCTCTACTTGTTTTCTGGTAAATTTGGGGTCCTTTAATTTCTAGACTTTGAGTAGAAACTGATTATACCATGGGCTAATCTTCAAGTACCACAAAATATAATTTTATCGTAGTAAGCTTTTCGATTCACTCCAAATGAAGGTATTATATGTTCACATATATATATATATATATTCACAACCTTAAGAAAGAAGAAAACAACTCTTGGTACAGAGCAAAAATGAAGCACTAACGGATTCCCACACACCAAACTCTGAGAACAAACAAAAACAGATAGCAGCATGCAAGTCACGAAGGAACAAAGAAAAAAGAATACTCATTTGCAAATCCAAAATTAGAAAAAATCGCATAGACAAAATTGGGAAACTCACCACAAAACGCTGGTCATTGGAGCTTTTTTATTTTATTTTTTTTTATTTTTTTTTTTGCAACTAAATTGGAAAATCTGAAGAAAAAAAAAACCTCAACCGCAATTTTTCAGCAACAAACCTTCAGCGTCAACATTTTATAACAGAGACACACAAAAGTTAGACACGAAGAGAAAACGAAGCATTGAAAATTCTGGAAAAAAAAAAAAGGACTTATAGTGACAGAACGGCGGAGGACAGAGGTGCTATCACGGCTCAGATAAAACCCTAGCTTTATCCACGCCGCGAGGCAAAGTTTTGGACAGTGTAGGAATCAAAGGAAAACCCAAATCCAAGGAAAAACAAATGGCTTTTCGAATTCGATTTTTTATTATTTTTTTTATTTTTGGAGTTTGGCCTCTGTGATTTGTAGTTTTTGAGAGAGAGAACTGGAGAAATTACTACTGGGTTGGTCTTTTTCAGCAGGAAAGTGAGAGAGAGCAGTCGAGATCGGAGAGCGAGGGAAGGCAAGCTTTAGCAACATAAGGATTTGTGGGAGAGATCGAAATGGATGGAAGGCTTCTTTAGTAGAGAAGGAAAGCATGAGAAAGAGTGAGAGATGAGACAAGACCGCAAAGTGAAGGAGAGTCAGAGGAAAAGTCGAGAAGGAGTCAAAGTACAGCCCTTCGACAATGATCGACGCATGGACTGAAGCAAAAGGACAACGGAAGGCAAAAATGAAATTATACAAATCAAGCAGGGGCAAATCCGCCATTTTACTGTTCACGAACAGTGAAAAACCAGTCTTACGGAAAACCCATTTTTAGTATACGTATAATTTATAATAGGGAGAAATTCTCTCTCTTCTTCTTTCCTTCTTACATTTTGCTCCTTGTCTTTTTGTCTTTTAAAAAAAAATTAATATAAAAAATTAATATAATGTAATCGTAATCATTTAAATAAGAGAAGAAAAAAAAAAGAGAAAGATTAAGGGTAGAAAGAATAATAGTTGGACATACTTTGTGATCTGATGAAAACTTGTGAAGCATAAGTATCACCTGACCAAATCTCCCATAGATTATCTTAGAAGGAAAGAAATTCTCTTCGGATCTTTTTCATCAAAGTCACCTGATCAAGTGATTTGGACCTTTGAAATTTTATCAAACGGCAAAAAATTATTATAATTTTTAAGAGATCAAAACAAGTAGGCCGTTGAATGAAATTTAAAACCCGAATCACTTGATCCGATGACCTTGTTGAAAGAATCTCCCCTCATCTTGGAAAAGAAGAACTCAAACAGATTATGTACTTATAGGGCGCCACACTGTTCAATTGAACAGTTCCATTTTCAGTGGCACACAATTCAACCAACTAATATTCTTTTTGGTGCATTATTTAGTTTAGAGAAATATTAAGTAGATTTTTAAAAGTAAGATTTTTTATAAATTTTCTGTTATCTTTTATTTTAGATATAATGTTTTGTTATCACGAAAGTTGATATTAACTTGTGAAGTAGAAGAGAGTTTATGAAAGTCCATTTAAGAGAGTTTTCTTAACATTGGTGATTCAATTTAATTTGAATGAAAATTATAAAAACTAATATTTTTAGTGCATGTTATGTTCAAGGTTATGTTTTCATTTTTTGAATCACGGCGTGTTTTACGCGACTTTCAAGTTTTAAATATATTTATATCCGTAAATTGACAAAAGAAAAATCAAATATTTGAAGTAAATGAATAATCTTAAATCATACTAGAAGAAATGCCTCATAAACCAATTAAAGTAGCTGAATCCATATAATAAAATCGGTCTCTGTAAAATTTACATTTAGAATAGAGAAAGTAATATTTAATAAACAACTGATGAATCACATTATTACTAGCTCATTGTGAGGCTAAACCCACCATTTTCCCCTTAGTATAGATAATATCATTTGTTTAAAAAAAAAAAATCATTTGACAACTAATTTAATCACATTATTATCCGCATGCGAAAGACAGTTTTTATAATTAGCATTACACGCCTCTTGAGATATTTTGAACGTGTATAAAAATAGGGAAAATTGACACATCCCGACTTGAAATGTCCACTTAAACTCCAAATCGAGTTGTGTTGGCCGACACCTGAATGGTGACGTAGCCATAAAGTGTAGTGATGTGGAAGGTATGGGTAAATTTAAACCTAAAGTGCCTAATCAAGAGAGTGTGCAAGCGAGCGGGTTTGAATCATATTCACACGTGATGTCAGAGCAGAAGACAATATAGTAAATAGGTTGAGGGTTACACCACTGAAGGTAACCATCTCCTAAGATTTGCCAGAATCCTCGTATACGCGTAAACACCGCTACTAAACCTGGAGGGGCGAAAAACAATTTGAGTGGGTCAGTAAAACAATACTTATACGAAAACCTTTATTTTTGAATATACTAACCCCTCACTGTAAAACAAGTATAATTTCCTCAAAACATACTACGTAAGTATGTAATCAAATATAACCGCAATATAACCAGAAATATGCCAAGTCATGATATATCAAATGCCAAGGTAATATAATTATGTAATAATCAATTATAAGCAGGTTGCTCATCATCTAAGCTACATACACAAGTTCGAACAGATGGTTTCTGACACGAACAGGACTGGGTGTGATCAATATACTCTAGTACCACGATCACGTGAAGACTGGTGCAAAAGCACATCACATACAAGTCGGATCGCCTAATGCAATCTACCCGACAAGACTGGCACCTAAACTTGGATCCAAGGTGAGCGAACAGTGCGAATGTGAACATACACGTGAAGGACTGGCCCTGGCCCTGGGGTGAGTACTAACACCAGGTGTAGCAAGATGAGCATGTACACAAGTATGAATGTCATGACAATAATATCTCAACCATATAGCAGCATTTATCACATTTCATATCACAATATCGAATACTTGGCAATATAAACGTAAAAGTGAAGTAAATACGCATTCATGGAAACTAAAATATGTATAGGTATAAAAACAAATTGCCCACTCACATATACTTCACTGCCGACGAGCCACGCAACCTAGCGAAGATGGAAACGCCACTAATAATTGCTCCTAAGCACATAAAGGTACAATTAATAAAACTATACTATAACAATTGAATTTGGAAAAACGGACGTCAAAAACGGATTCAGAACGTCGAATTACCCTAAAAAGGGTCCTGCTTAAATTTTCGAAAAGTCAACAAAAGTCAACAGGATGAATATTCCTTGAAAGACGAAATATTCTCTGACGGATGGAAAATTCCCTAACGGAATATTTCATTTGAGTTAAGGGTTATTAGGTTGGGTTAGATTAATAGGTTGGACTTAAGGATTTTAGGCCTAAAGGCCTAAACTAAAAGGTTTAAGATTTAAAATGCATGAGCTTAAAGCACAAAAGGAAATGGCCAAAGACCTTTAATTAACCAAATAATAATAAAAATAATAATAAAGGGTTAGGTTGGGCTACCCAGGTTTTGGGCTTGGCAGGAGCGGCCCGAAGGGCCTGGGTTTGGGTTCCAGCTCGCCGGAGTTAAACGGAAAGGAATGCCGGATTCGGCCAGAAAACTGAACAACCTTTAAATGTTAATAACTTCCTCGTTACGCAACGAAATCGAGTGAAACAAAAACTAAAGTTGTAGTTCTCGAAGAGAAGAAGAGAATGGTACCTCGCACGATGTCTAACTCTCCGTGTTTTGGCCGGAAAACACCTCGAAAGCCGTCGGACTCGCTGGAAACTGGGTAAGATTCAAATGAGTATAACTTCTTTAATACTCAACGAAATTGGGTGAAACAAAAAGGAAAGCTATAGTATGCAGTGAGACGAAGAGATTGATACCTTGTATGCCTGCCAACTCGCTGTGGTTTGGCCGGAAATTGTCTCGAAAGGCACGGATCAGAC